CCAATTACCGGTATTGGTAATTTATCGGATAATAGTCCGAAATGGGTTTCGGAGACTTCTAAATTAAATTTGAGGAATGTAAATTCATTCTAAGGGACCATATGGGTTGAAAATGTGTGATATATTTTATTTTGCCCGATAAAATGAAACATAATTAAAACGGTCCGAGAAATACAACTTTTGAGGCCGATTGTACAGTTTGGGACATAAAGGGATGACCTCCCACATGAGTGGGGGGCACCCCACGTTTTTGTGTGCTCAAAGTTGACTTTAGGGGGCTGAATTATGGTGAGAGGGTGTTGAGAGGATGTATGAGTGAAGGTGAGACATGAGGTGGACCATCCCATCCACACTCATTACTCTATTGAGACAAAAGAGTCATCTTCACTCTCCCCTCTACCACAACTTCGACCAAGACATCAAGGAAGGATAGAGAAGCCTCTGCAAAACACCATTTCTCCATATCAAAGAGAGCTCAAGCAAGAAAGGAGCTCAAGGAAGAAGAAAAGGTTGCAAAGTTGAGAAATGTAGAATGAGAGGTTGGAAGGTGGTTCTAAGTCCAAGAACGGACTTAGAAGCCAAAGTGACCGGTTCGCCGGAAAATAACCTTTTACAAGTTATTTGTATTGATATTAGTTTGATGATGATAAAACCTTTTTAGGAACTTGTCTAAGGTGTTCCTAGAGCTTTCACAGAGTTGAAAGAGTCGCCGGAGTTATCGCCGGAGTTTGACAAAGTTCGTCGGAGCTTCGTCGGAGTTAAACCGGGTAGGGAAGAACTTCTTAAAGCTCATCCAAGGTGAGTGGATGGCTTAATGTCTTGTAACTCTTGGGTTAAGTATGAGATTACGTAAGTAAATGCAATACGCGTTCATAATGATGTTTAAAATGGTTTAAGCATGTGATTAGCCAAGATGATTAGGCTTATGTGAAATGAACCATGATGATTATGCATGAGAAATGATATGAAAATGATATAAAAACACGTGTGATGTTTTGGAGGGACAAAACGTCAAATATTGATTGTTTAACACTTATTTCATTTTGGGTTAAGTTTCGGATCAATCGGAGTCGGTTCGGGCGGTCAACGGGTCGTTGACCGCAAAGGAGGAAGTGCACTGGTGCCGGTTTAGGCTATAACCGGCGCCGGTTTGAGTATGGGGCATTCAAATAAATGAATTTAAATGTGAACCGGCGCCGGTTATGGCTGAACCGGCGCCGGATAGGTGCTGTTTTGTCTCGAATGATGATTTGTGTGCATGGTTTTGCATGGATTGTTATGCTTAGGCTATAAGACTTGGTTTAGTCTTGATAAAAGATTATGATATAGACTTCATCTATGTATGATATGTGGTAGATCATAGGAATGTATATATAAACGGTGGAGACACAAGGACGACGGTACTATCCTCAAAACTCGGTATATAAACGGTGGAGACCCAGGGACGACGGTACTGTCCTCAAACCTCAAATATATAAACGGTGGAGACCCAAGGACGACGATACTGTCTCAAACCTCAAATGTGTAAACGGTGGAGACCCAGGGACGAAGGTACTGTCCTCAAACCTCAAATGTATAAACGGTGGAGACCTAGGGACGACCGTACTGTCCTCAAACCTCAAAAGTATAAACGGTGGAGACCCAAGGATGATGGTACTGTCCTCAAACCTCGGTATATAAATGGTGGAGACCCAGGGACGACGATACTATCTTCAAAACTCATATGTATAAATGGTAGAGAATCCAAGGACGACGGTATTGTCCTCAAACTCGTATGTATAAATTGACTTGGACCAGGAGGAGTCCTATACACTCATAGGATATGGGTGGGTTGGAATTTAAGTCAAGGATATTGACTACTATGATTTTCACAAATAAACAATGACCTACGGGTCGGGTATTTCCAAGTGTGTGTATATATATACTGATATGTATTTTATAACTTGGGGGAAAGTACTATACGTGCATGTATCACTCAATGTTTGAGTCTTATACTTGAAACGTTAGTTATGCTACATTTAGCTTGCTACTCGCTCGGTACTTGTACTGACCCCTTCAGGGGCCTCCACCATTTTCAGGTTGAAGCTAGGACTTGCTACCTGCACCTTCTTACGGGTGAAGTCAATTCAAGGAAGACGTGGTTCGTGCTTCCTTATTTGCTTTCAAACTACCAAACACTTGCTCATGGATATTTGATTCACTATAAACTATTTTGGGCTTGTGAGTCCATGTTTTGGCCGGTTGTGGCCCATGCTTTACCGTTGAATATTTCCGCTATTCATTGGTTTAAATGTGATGTTGTTATGTATGTTTACTACTGAGTATGGATGGATTATGTTAATGGACGCCTTGCATGATTAAGTCACGTTGACTTGCGAGTGACGTCACTTGGTCATACGGCGGTTGTACACGCGCTTAGATGCGGTCTGGGGCGTGACACCAGACTAGACCAGTAAATTTTAGTTCAAGTAAAAACATCCTACGCATAAATTCAAGATTAAGCCCTTGTTTGGATATTAGCGACTTTTTTTTACATGTGTAAACGCTGGTTTTTGCAGTGTTTTGACGTTAAAATGCCAAAAATCAACCAAAGACTTGATGGTATAATTATTGTCTAAGTGGTCTTGAGAGCTATTTATCCCTTTTCAAATAGTAGTCAAATACATGAGTTTGCTTGTATAAATATGTAACTAAAGTTTAATTGGAACTACTGCTTAAATCATGTTTATCGCTAATATTTACATAGTACGTAGTATTTATTAAAAAATACTTCCTCCGTATTCTTTTCTTTATTACATTACTTTTATCACATAGTTTAAAGGTAAAATAGTAAGGATAATGAATACTCCGTATTATAGAAAAAGAGGGGGAAATGATGGAAAAGTTTGGAAAAAAAAAGACAAAAAATAGAAAAAGAAAGAGTCATTGCACATTTTTAAGGAGAAATCAACCCGAAAAGGAAATTTTTACAAACATTAAAATACTTTTCAAAAGAAAACTGCAACAAATAAAAAACAAGGGAGTGTGTAAATAGGGATGGACTCGGTTCGGGCCGGGCCCGGTTCGGGCCTTGAACCGGCCGAGCCTCGGTTCAAGGTATGGGAGGCCCGGGTAACCCCCGGGTCCGGGCCGGGCCGGGCCTCGGTTATATATATTTTTTTTTGGGCTTTTCCTAGTTAACCCCCAACCCTCCCCCTCACCCCCAAACCAACCCTAACCACCTCAAATGGCCCAAAATACCCAGCTCAACCCAAAAACTTAAAAAAAAATCAAAAAAAAATCAAAAAAAAATTGGCCCGGCCCGGGCCCGAACCAGGCGGGGCGGTTCACCTTTCGAAGGGCCCGAGTCCGAACCGAGATCTTACCGGGCCGGGTGGCCCGAACCGGCCAACCAACCGGTTCACCGGGCCGGTCCGGGCCCGCGGCCGGTCCGGTTCCGGGCCGGTTGGCCCGGCCCGAGTCCACCCCTATGTGTAAAAATAAAATATCACTCCCTCTGTATCTGAATTGTCTTCTAATTCTCCTTTTTGTTCGTCCTAAAATAATCACCTCTTGTTCTTTTAGGCTTTTAGCTAAGAATTTATTGTTCACAACATTTCTTACATATTTCTTTTTCTTCTGCACAACTCTTTTTTGCACAATTCTTACTTTTCTTAATGCACGTGCAAAACCCCATTTAGAAGATGATGCAGAGACATAGTAATAGTTTTGATCAACTCTGTCGAGAGGAATTTTGAGTTATATCGAACCAGAACATGATTCCTCGAAAACTTCAAATTGAAGACTAGATCGGTATATGATCAGTCTGGGTAGGCCAAATTAGTTCAGTTCAATTTTCCGGTTCAAACCAGAAACTTGACAGTTGACACTCCTAGATGAGAAGAAGATTTCAAGATCAATCGATCACCCCTATTATATAGTCTCACAAATAAATAATAGATATAATCGATTTCTTGTCGATCAATAATTAACGAGAAAGACTTAGGCATGGACCCAACCGGGCCGAACCAGGCCGCTACTGTGTGGGCCCGGACTGGACCGGGCCTGCATGGCCGGTTCCGGCGGTTCTGGCGGGCCGGTTCCGGACCATGATTTTCATGAACCGGCCCGGGCGGTTCGAGCTGAGCCCGGTTCAATTTTTTTAAATTTTTTTTCTTTTCCTTGGGTAGGGTTGGGTGTTTTGGGAGGGGGGGGGGGGGTTTGAGGGTGGGGGTGAGGGAGGGGGGTCGGGGATTAATTAGAAAGCCAAAAAAAATTACATAGAATCGGGCCCAGCCCAGCCCGCTTTGGCGCGGACCCGGTTTCAACCCGGGCCAGTTCCGGACCAACATTCCGGAAAAAAAGCCTGCCCGGGTCCACCCCTAGAAGGCTAGAAAGACTAGTACGACATTAATATTGAACATTAGCGGAGGCATTGAAATCAAATTCGTACATTAATTTTAGTTTCTTCCAAGCATCACTCATACAAGAATAACATTTCCTATTTTCTTCCAAGCACCACAACAATAACAAGTTAACAACATCCAACTATCCAAGCCTTCTTCCAAGCACCACTCATAAGATTAAAATATAATTAGTGGACGAACACATTATTACGTGACCACTATATTAATTATTAACTACCAAAATACAATCATGATACTAGATTATAAACTGAATATCTCACTAGTAAGTAGTCGCTACAAAACTACAATTTCTACAAAAATAACTTTATGCATGTTAAAATTCATATTTCTGTTAATTGCTTTTATTTTAATCATAAGCGGCAGAGTATATGTCTTATTTCAATAAACCCCATAAATATATGCAGTACGTTATATACGCATCCCGACTTTCATATAGAAATGTAGCGACTAGAGAGATATTTACTCTATAATTTAGCCAATAGCCTGTTCAGATCGAACTGCAAACCAGGTGAATATGCATTGCGCTTTACATTATTCATCTTTTTTTGGTAGAGAGGATGTGTCAAAAGATGTTTACTAGAAAAGAAATAATGAGCAGAACCGTAAGTTATAATCCAGAATGAAACGTGTTTGCTAGACTTGTTAAATTTGGCCATTACATGGCATCACAAGAGAATAGTAATCAAGGCAGTAACTAATTGACTTTTAAAAGACATGGTCGACTAGTAGTAACTATCATAACCCAATCTCGGGTAACAGTAATTTTCCTAGTAGATATTTCGTGAATTGGTGTCCTGTTAGAACAGGTCAATTGCGGGGGAGTTGCAACAACACTACCACATTAATACTTTCAGTAACACCATTTTAAAATTTTATAACAAATCCACAAGGAAGGTAACCATCTCCAACAACACATGACATTGTGCCCAATTACACTAAAGCCGATTCAAGTTCATACAAAGCTGTTGAGACAAAAGGCACTACCAAAAATGCTACAATAAGGGCTTTATCAAGTTCAAGAGATGGAGCTATATTGCCTCAATCAAGTTCAGATATCATTCCCATCACATTCTCGGAGCTGCATAAGATGATAGATAATCAAGAAACGAATGGGGAAAGAAAAACATCTGTTATGTATTCATGAGGATAGCACTATGTATAGTACTTGTGGAAATGCGAAGAGATATAGTCTTACCTCCACCAATTGTTGCTTCAGGCATCCTTTCTATGGAATACTTGCGTTGAGTGATATACATAATTGGTACTCCCGGGATCTGAGTATAGAACACAACAGCATAAAACTTCATATCACAACTGAAAAAGGAGCAAACAAAAAGCTGACAATTGCATCATCTTATTTATTGTTCACCTTGCGGATCCTCCGCTTCAAATCTCGATCACATGTTGCGACAATATAACACTTGTGCTATTCAAATCAAAGGAATGGAAAACCACACGATCACACAATCATAAAAAACACTATTAATATGAAGTAAACAACTGAAAAAAGGAAAAAGCAGGGGAGTATAAACCTGAGTAACCCTCTCAACAAGACAGTCATCAGCATAAGTCCCTTTATGAATACAAGGAAGCCTTTCAAACCGAGGGTCCTTAGCAATTCTATTGTGTCAAAAGAAACACAATTCAGGAAAGACAGAAGATCATTTATCACATGAAAACAACATGAGTACCACTTTGTAACAATACATCTGCCATTAGTAGTGAAATTAATTTTAGTAGTTAGAAATCACAGGTAGTCTTTGATTTCCTGCTACCTAAATTTTGAAGTGTTATTCTTATAACCTTATCGTCCTTTTTAGTAAAGTAGTACGTAGTATTATGATACTCACTAAAAAAATATAAGCTCGTGAATTGAATTCTACAAGAGAGAGACTGACAATATACCTGAGGGCAACACGGTATTTTTGACCTAGCTTCTCAAGCTCAGCCATCACACAGTCCGTAATACAAGGAGTGCCTAAAGGGGAATGATAAAGACATGGACAATAGAAGCATGAATAAAAATACTAATATACAATACTTCAAAAAAATGTATAAATGAAGAGTCAATAGAAGGGGTGAGGCAGGAAGTGAGAATAACTAATTTGGCAGATAAATATATTTGTAAGGAAAAGCTATAAATAAGAAAAGGGAGGAGTGAGAAGGTTAGGCAGATTTTGGGAATAGACTTGGGAGAGGGGACTGCTCTAAGTGTCTCGGTGTATCTTTCTCTTTCTTCTATTCCCGCTACTGCAATGCTGCGACCTTCATCAATATATTACTGAATTAAGCTGCTTTGCTCGAGGTTTCTAACATTAGTATCAGAGCTCCTTCCTGGAGATTGTGGATGACCTAGACGAGAGGACAGATGGAGCACAGACTGGAGTCGGCGGAGAATAACGTGCAGGACATGCACAACATCATCGATGAGATGTGCAGCTAGATGTTGAACCAGGATCGCAGAACAGATGTGAAGCTGAATGAGTTGCGGAACTTGGTGACGCAACAGAATCACCATTGTTCGCGAGGGAGATGGCGAACTCCAAGGCGGAGGGAGCACGATGTCAATCGGAATTCTCCAGTCACAGGAGGTAATTCTAATCGATCTCAATCCTCACATTTCAGACGTGAGAATTTGGATAATAAGGTGTTATCGAAAACCGGTAGGTAGATAGACTTACCAGTATTTAGTGGTGATGAAGCATATGGTTGGATTATTAGGGTGAAAGGTTTTTTAAACTGAACAATATCACTGATGAGGACCGAGTTCCAGTTGTCATGGTGGCGATGGAAGGCCGAGCACTGAACTGGTTCCATTGGTGGGAGGAACAACCAACTGAGCTCAGCTGGGAAGAGTTTAAAGATGCTTTGATCCGTCGGTTTCAGACGGAATCGGTGCAGAACCCGTTCGGACCTCTGTTGAGAGTCAAACAAACAGGTAAAGTGATGGATTATAGAGAAGAATTTGAAATGGTAGTAGAGACAGAGAAATGCTAATCCTGAGATGTTGAAGGGAGTCTTTCTCAATGGACTCAAGGAGGAATTGCGAGCTGACCTCAAATTGTATCCTATGGGCTCTCTAGCTGAAATCATGAATCAGGCTTTTTTGTTAGAAGAAAGGAACAAGGCATGGAGAGGAGGAAAATACAAAGAGGATGACAAAAGGGGATAGAAAGATAAAGGTGGAGCTATGGTGAAACCTCTGAACTGGATGGATGGGACCAGGATGAGAAGCTCAAATACTGGGACACAGATTACTGATAGAAGCACAGAGGACAATAAAGTTGGGAATTCTGTGGTCGTTCCTACTAATGGAAGGCCTGGTCCAAGGTTGTCCCCAGCTGAATCGGAAGACAAAAGTAAGAAGGGACTCTGCTTCAAGTGTGGGGGTAAATGGAACAAGGAACATGTGTGCAAGCTCAGGCATTATCAGATTATCTCATGGGAGAATCAGGAAAAGGAAGAAGAACCGGCAGATATAGCAGAAGAACAACCATTGGGCTATAACAATCTGAGAGTCTGAGACTATCCGTAATGAGTAAGGCTGGAATCACTACTCACAAGACTTTCAAGTTGCAAGGGCAATTAATATTTTGGGAAATTGCTAGACCGGTAGTGATCTTAATAGACAGTGGGGCCACACGTAATTTCATTTCCCAGAAAATGGTCACAGAATTTGATCTACCTTACAGACAGATTGGGGGATTTCAGGTGGAGCTGGGAAATGGAGGAAATGTGAGTAACAATGGAAGGTGTGAAAACATGAATATTAAATACAAGACTTACTGGTCAACCAGAATTTCTGTATCTTGGTGTTGGGAGGAATTGACTTGGTTTTAGGGCTGGAATGGCTGGCATCACTGGGATATATTAAATTTAATTTCCAGGCATTAACTTTGAGGTGGAAGGGAAAGTTAGGAGAAGTTTGCAAGAGAGTCCTGTTTTAAGCCACACTTTAGCCTCATGGAAAACCATGATGAAGAATCTGCAAAACCAAAGGCAGCGGTACTATGTGAAATGTGAGTTACAACCTGATGTTGAACAGGAAGTGAAGAGCACAGGAGGAATATGGGAAGACAATAATGAAGGAGTTTGCTGACATCTTCCAAGTCCCTCAAACTCTGGCACCTAGAAGGGAATGTGATCACTCAATCAACATTAAGGAGGGGGCTACAATCCCTAATATACTACCTTACAGGTACCCTTACTACCAAAAAATGAAAGCGAAGTCATCATCAATGAAATTGTTGAGTACAGGCATCATTAGGCCCAGTACCAGTCCATACAGTAGCCCAGTTTTGTTGGTGAGAAAAAAAGAGGGTGGTTCGAAATTCTGTGGGGATTATAGAGCACTCAATAAAGTTACTGTACCCGACAAATGCCCCATAACGGTTATCGAGGAATTATTGGATGAGCTGGGAGCTGCCAGGAAGTTTTCCCATGCCAGGATCTGAAATCAGGTTATCACCAGATCCGAATGAAGGAAGAAGATATTCACAAAACGGAAATCGGACTCATGAGGGCCATTACGAATACTTGGTCATACCTTTTGGCCTTACCAATGCTCCATCCACTTTTCAGGCCCTTATGAATCAGATTTTAAAACCTTTTCTGAGGAAATTTGTTCTCGTGTTCTTCGATGATATATTAATATACAGTCATGCGGAGGAACTTCACAAGGAAAACGTAAGAAGAGTGCTGCAAACCCTACAGGTACCCTTACTACCAAAAAATGAAAGTGAAGTCATCATCAATGAAATTGTTGAGTACAAGCATCATTAGGCCCAGTACCAGTCCATACAGTAGCCCAGTTTTGTTGGTGAGAAAAAAAGAGGGTGGTTCGAAATTCTGTGGGGATTATAGAGCACTCAATAAAGTTACTGTACCCGACAAATGCCCCATAACAGTTATCGAGGAATTATTGGATGAGCTGGGAGCTGGCAGGAAGTTTTCCTATGCCAGGATCTGAAATCAGGTTATCACCAGATCCGAATGAAGGAAGAAGATATTCACAAAACGGAAATCGGACGCATGAGGGCCATTACGAATACTTGGTCATACCTTTTGGCCTTACCAATGCTCCATCCACTTTTCAGGCCCTTATGAATCAGATTTTAAAACCTTTTCTGAGGAAATTTGTTCTCATGTTCTTCGATGATATATTAATATACAGTCATGCGGAGGAACTTCACAAGGAAAACGTAAGAAGAGTGCTGCAAACCCTACAGGAAAATCAGTTGTTTGTTAACAGAAAGAAATGCAGTTTTGGTCAAGTTGAGCTATCTTATCTGGGCGATATTATTTCAGAGAAGGGAGTATCAGCTGATCCTTCTAAGATAAATTATATGCTAAATTGGCCTGCACCCAAAGATATAAAAAGCCCTCAGATTTTTTTTGGGTCTCACATGTTACTATAGGCGGTTTGTAAGAGGATATAGCCGAATAGCATCAACTCTTACCAACCTCCTGAAAAAAGATGGGTTTAAATGGGAGCAGTCTGCTACTGAAGCATTTGAGGAATTAAAAAGAGCCATGACTACCCTACCTGTTCTAGCTACTTCAGATTTCAATTTTCAACAAGGTGTTTGTCCTGGAGACAGATGCCTCTGGGAAGGGGGTGGGAGCAGTGCTGATGCAAGAAGGGAGACCAATTGCGTACATGAGTAAAGAATTGTCTCCTAGAAGTCGGAACAAATCTGTGTATGAGAGGGAATTAATGGCCATAGTTCTGGGCCTTCTGGCCATACAGAGATGGAGACCCTATTTGCTAGGGAGAAGGTTTGAAATACACATGGATCAGATAAGCCTGAGGTTTTTGACAGAACAGAGAATCATGGGGAAGGACCAACAGAAATGGGAGACTAAATTGCTAGGATACAATTTCGTCATCAAGTATAAGCCAGGGGTTGAAATAATGCTGCTGATGCCCTCTCAAGAAAACTCAGTTTGCAGACCTTATCCATAGAGTGACATGTCAAGATTGGGAAGGGTTGGAAGAAGAAATATTGAAAGATGATAAGTACAACGACATCATACAGAAATTAATAGTACAACCAGAAGGCCAGCCACATTTCAAACTGAAGAAGGGTTTGTTATACTTTGAAGGAAGACTGGTCATTCCCAGGAATTCTTCATGAATACAGCTGATTTTGAAAGAATTTCATGACTCGGCCATTGGGGGCCATGCGGGACACTTCAGAACAATGAAGAGGAATGTTAACTTGTTTTACTGCAAGGCATGTGGAGTGATATACAGACTTATGTCCAGATTGTGACATCTGCCGGTGAAATAAATATCAATCTTTGAACCGTGCAGGCTTGCTTCCAGCCTTCCACTTCCTATACCTGACAATATCTGGACAGACATAAGTATGGATTTTATTGGAGGATTACCCAGGGCCTATGGGAAAGATACGGTGCTGGTAGTGGTTGATCGGTTGACAAAATTCACACATTTCATTGCCCTTGGTCACCCTTATAGTGCTAATGAATTAGCTGAAGCATTTATCAAGGAGATAGTCCGGCTTCATGGGTTTCCAAAAACAGTGGTGTCTGACAGAGATAGCATTTTCTTGAGTGCATTTTGGTCTGAATTGTTCAAACTAGCTGGTACTAAATTAAAATATAGTACAGCTTATCACCCCCAAACCGATGGCCAGATGCAGGTAGTCAATTGGTGCATTGAGACGTATTTGAGATGCACTACTGGGCAGAAACCAAAGCAGTGGCCCAAGTGGTTATCTTGGGCCGAGTACTGGTACAACACAAACTATCAGAGTTCCATCAAAAGCACTCCTTTTAAAGCCCTGTATGGACAGGATCCTCCAGCCTTGAAAAAGGGGATGTTACTTTAACAGCTTTAGAAGAAGTGGCCAAGCTAACGGCGGAAAGGAACATGATGTTGGAGGAGCTAAAAGCAAACCTAGCAATAGTTCAAGACAGGATGAAGCAACAAGCAGATAAACACAGAAGGGAACTATAATTGGAAATAGGGGATAAAGTTTACTTGAAGATACAGCCCTATAAACTCAAAAGTTTAGCAAAAAGAATCAAGCAGAAGCTAAGCGCTAGGTTTTATGGGCCTTTTGAGATCATTGAAAAGATCAATCCAGTAGCATTCAAACTGAAATTGCCAGAGGACTGTACTGTTCACCCAGTATTTCATATGTCTCTTCTGAAAAAGATAGTTTCTCCTAATATTTTTTGACAGCCCTTACCCAAGTGCTTATCAGAGGAGTGAGAACTCAAAACTACTCCAGAAAGAGTACTAGCCACTCGGATAGGTCCTACAGGAGAAAAAGAGATACTGGTACATTGGAAACAGCTTCCAGACTTCGAAGATTCCTGGGAATCCATGAAGAAACTGAAGGAGCAATTACCAGAAGTTCACCTTGAGGACAAGGTGAATGTTCAGGAGGGGAGTAATGATAAAGACATGGACAATAGAAGCAGGAATAAAAATACTAATATACAATACTTTGAAAAAGTGTATAAAAGAAGAGTCGATAGAAGGGGAGAGGCGGGAAGTGGGAATGATAGGCACCCAGCCCAACCACCTACTAAATATTATAATAAAGTGTACACAAGGAGAGAGAGGAAGGCAGCTATTAATTAGCCAATCAGTTAGTTATGCTATTTTGTCCCTGCGTGGACCATTTACTTTAAATAGCAACCTAGTGGCTAGGTTTGGGTAGGCTGTTATTGAATTGAGTGTTGCCTTGGAGAGTGGGCTTCTCGAACAGTCCCATTGTTGCCTTGCTACCTACGAATTATCTTCCTTAACGAATAAACTTCATTATCTCTACTATTTTGATCGGATCTGCTATTTCCTTTACTGTTTTGCCTGTATCTTTGCCAGTGTTCTATCATTGGTATCAGAGCATAACTCCTGGGGATCGGAATCCAAGGTCTACGTCAACTGAGCTCTCATTTTTAGTTGTGGATGGTAAAAACGAGATCCAAAATGGAGCATCGCATGGAGGCGTTTGAGCAGGAGATGAGAGCTGCCATTGCAAACCTCACTACCGGAATGGATGAACGGATCCAGAACAGCATCGCCGCTTCCATGGCAAACTACCAAAGCAGGAGCGATCGTGACCGGGGAAGATCGCGATCACCACATCCTCATCGTTCGCGACCACCCCACAGCCAGCCTCACTCGAGAATTCCGCACATTCCCCAGTCCAAGTCGGTCATGTTCATACGAGTAGGAAAGTGGATCTACCTATGTTTAATGGGTAGGGTGCATATAATTGGATCGTGATGATGGAGCGCTACTACAAACTGAATGGGATTGAAGAGGAAGATAAGGTAGAAGTCTCTGTTGTAGCCATGGAGGACAGAGCCTTGAATTGGTTCCAGTGGTGGGAACGGCAAGCTGTGGAAAGGAATTGGGATAATCTGAAAGATGCTGTGATTCGCAGGTTCCAACCGGACTTAATACAAAATCCGTATGGTCCTATGCTCAGTTTAAAACAAACAGGGACAGTAAAAGAGTACAGAGAGGAGTTTGAGATGGTTGTAGCTCCTCAGAAGGATATTGACAGGGGTATGCTGAGAGGTATCTGCATCAATGGTCTGGAGGAGGAAGTTAAAACAGAACTGAAACTCTATAACTCCATATCCTTAACGGCTATAATGGATGGGGCTTTATTGATTGAGCAGAGGAATGAAGCTGTGTATGGGAGGAACAAAACTGCTGACAAAAATGAGGGAAAGGATAAGGGACCTCTGCCATACAGACCATCATTTTGGGGTGAAGGGTATAAATCCAAATTTGGAAATACAGGGGGCCATACTGGGGTCAGGCAGGCTGAAGATATGAAGGGAAACCCTCCTTGGGGCAATACTATGGGAAAGAAGATGGCAGATATAAACACTTCACGGATCAGGCGTGTAGCACCTCAACTCTCCCAGGAAGAATATCAAGACAGGAGTAGAAGGGGACTGTGTTTCAAGTGTGGAGAGAAGTGGAGCAGGGAACACACTTGCAAGATGAAAAACTATAAACTAATCCTGGTGGAAGATTCTGATGAGGAGGAAGAATTGGAAGTGTCAGAACCTGAAGTTGCAGAAGAAGAAGTGGTTCACATGGAGGCCAAGTCCATGCAGTTGTCTGTGATGAGTAAAGAGGGGATCCCTTCACTGAGGGCTTTTAAGGTGCAGGGCATATTGAAAGGAATTCTGGGGGACAAACAGGTGGAAATATTGATTGATAGTGGGGCCACACACAACTTCATATCTCGGAAATTGGTGGATCAGTGGGGAATACCTTATCAAACCATTCCTGGATATAAAGTGCAGATAGGGAATGGGGATAAGATAACCAATAATGGCAGGTGTCAGAATTTGACTCTCAGTTTACAGGGTACCATCATCCAAGAGACTTTCTATATACTAGAACTTGGGGGAACTGATTTAGTCCTGGGCATGGAATGGTTGACCAGTTTGGGGGATGTAGAGTTGAATATTCAGAAGCAATGCATACAATGGCAACAGTTGGGGATCAAACCGACCATACAAGGAGAACCTCAGCTGAATTCTATTGAAATCTCCTTACAGACCATGGCACACATTATACAGGATACCGGAGATGGATATATGATACTGTGAAAGCAGGTTAGAAGAAGGAGAGAAAGAGCAGAACAAGGACCCCATCTGGGAGGAGATAATGGCAGAATTCCCTGAAGTAACAACCCCCAGACAAGGGTTACCCCCTCATAGAACCTGTGACCATGCTATCAACATCAAGGAGGGGGCAGAAATACCTAACATAAGGCCATACAGGTATCCCCAATATAAAAAACAAGAGATAGAAAAAATCATCCAAGAAATGCTACAGGCCGGAATTATACAGCCCAACAGTCCCTGTAGTAGCCAAGAAGAAGGATCCAACCGGACAGGTTTGGGTAGGCTGTTATTGAATTGAGTGTTGCCTTGGAGAGTGGGCTTCTCGAACAGTCCCATTGTTGCCTTGCTACCTACAGATTATCTTCCTTAACGAATAAACTTCATTATCTCTACTCTTTTGATCGGATCTGCTATTTCCTTTACTGTTTTGCCTGTATCTTTGCCAGTGTTCTATCAGGGAATAACTAATTTGGAAGATAAATATCTTTGTATGGGGAAAGCTATAAATAAGAAAAGGGAGGAGTGAGAAGGTTAGGCAGATTTTGGGAATAGACTTGGGAGGGAGGACTGCTCTCAGTGTCTCGGTGTATCTTTCTCTTTCTTCTATTCCCGCTATTGTAATTCTGCAACCTTCATCAATATACAACTGATTTCTACTGCTTTGCTTGAGGTTTCTAACAGAAAACAAATGAAAAGGATGACCTTAAGCTCCCATATAATGAGTCCACATGAGAACACTAGTAAAGTTCTGGCATTCATAGCTAGCACAGTAAAATTATGTACCGAGTGATTTTACTCAGAGAGTTAGAGGTGAAGAATGCAACAATCAAGCATGCAGTAGAAACTACTTTCAGCACTACCCCAAATGCTATAAAAGAAAACATGCAAAAGACAGAATAAAAGTAAAGAAGAAAATGCAGCAGTTACTTACATTTGGCAAACAAACAATCCATCATCCCTTTCTCCAAATCCAACTGAAAGAGAAATTTATATATATATATATATATATATATATATATATATATATCAGCTCCGCATAAAAATAAATTCTATTTAAAGCTCTAACATTTTCATCAGTGATACTTTGAAGTATTTCACTGCTTTATACTACGTGCTTTTTATAGTAAAATCAATTTTGGTGAAATACTCATGTTGAATACTATAGCACAGAGTAATAACGTCCAAAACAATATCGTAAGCCAAAATCAGCAGTATTGACAACAAATAACAAAATTTGAAGTCTCACTTTATTTTGAATGGAGAAATTGATGAAGTTGGTATCCACCAGCACTCTATATGGGGGCCCCAATGCAGTGTTATACTCGAAGAAAAGGGCAGAAGAAATATAAGGCCTGCAGCAAATAATGAATCAATTCTCAATCATATCATTATACGTACATGACTCACATATGAGGAATAAAAATCCTTACACATTAGGTGGAAGCTTCTTCTTACTCAAATCTTTCTTATTTGGGTTCAACACATCTTCTTTATACCTGACAGCAATAAAAAAAACATGAGAAAAAAACTAAATAAAATTACATGATAATATGCAATAGAGAGAGACAGAGAGTTAACTGTTTTATCGTTTTCTGAGAGATTATCTTCTTCACAACGGCGAATTTGGGGGACTTCTTAGCTTTTCCCATCGCAGAGTGTTCAGTAGCGTGCAGAACTGTCTAAACTCTAAAACATTCACCCTTTTGGGGTTCCAGATATTTACACTAAAATAAATCTAATAATTGTATTTTTGCTGGAGAAGGTTTGATAAGGTTAGAACTTGAAGTAGAACAGAGGGGCACTTGTATCACCTGTATCAAAATGGAAGAACGGTGAATTGTCCACGAGTGCGGTAGGGAAACTTGTGCTAGGATGTTTGCAGCAGAAATTATTAGAGCATAAGGTAGAATGTAATGTTAGGCCCAAATGTAGTTTAAACAGCCCACAATATTATGCAAGTAAATCTTTTACAACCCATTAATTGATTTATAGGGTAGAAGGTCTACAGGGGTCGCCCTAAGGTGGCAGGGAGAGTAGTAGGTCTAGGTGCCCACCCTAGGCCTGGGATCAGATTCGGTTATAGTTACAATTTAGAAGAACAATTTTAAAATTTGTAGTTTTAGAATTCAGTTTGGTCTACTAAACAAAATGCAGAACTGTTTTGGAATTGAACAATGTCAAAACGGTTCAGTTTTTGCCTTTTTTGGTTCCTAGAATATCATGTAATTGTAATCCTCCTAAAATGAACAGAGATTTAATCTGTTGCTACAGAAAAATATTCAAAGTTCATATCATTAAAAGTAAAACTTTTGTCAAGGATACAATGATTCCACACATCCAATGTGCAAATATTACGAAAAATCCAATCTTAAGAAAATACTCCCTCCTTCCCCCTAACTTTGTACATAAAACTAATAAGTATTCCCAATTTCAAAATTTAATTGAAAATTTTAATTCTTTCTTACATGTCCACACAATGAATAAATCAATCTATATTCTTTAATTGTATTATAAATAAATCATTCTCTAATCTTTAATTCTATCTTTAATCATTATAAATTTATAATGAATAAACACTATTTTGTTATGAACTGAGAAATTCAATTAATAATCAAATTGATTCTCTAACCCTAAAAGTAACAGTACACAACAACAATACACAATAACCCTGAAAAATTCGATTAATTAAAGTCTAAAAGAGTATTAGAAATTTAGAGCTAGAGTATACCTGGTCACCTAGAGGCTGGAGCTCAGGAGCTACAGGTAGAGCGGAGAGCCGGAGAGAAAACACGGCCGAGTGGGCGACGGCGTCCGGCAGCGCGGCTGGTGGCCGCAGGTCAGCTGGTGTTCGCAGTTCACAGCGTCTTCGTCGGCTCGTCGCAAGCTGCCAGGCTCCTCTTCGACCTTCGTTCTTCAATCTTCGCATAAGAACTTCAGTAGGCCGCAGGTGAGTGGATTAGTGGAATAGTTCGACACTTGGATTAGGCTTGGGCTGGGCTGGGTTGGGAATTAATTTTGGGCCCCAAGTGAGTGGATTAGTGGAATAGTTCGACACTCTTTTAAACTTATACCTATATTAATATATAAATAAAAAATTGGGCTGGGCTTGAGCCCACCCCTGCCCTCACAATGATCCGTCAGTTTGTCTTTTTTACCTTTTTCGTTCGTCTCATTAAGTTTGTCACATATCATATTTGATAATATTTTTGTGGTTACAATTCATTCTTACTTTATTTACATTTTATCAATTCAATATCAATCACACAATTTTACTTTTTCTTAAAAACCACACCACATCTGTCTGTCCCAAACTTAGGGAGACGGAGGTAGCAATAAACAAGGCATGCATTTAAGTTCAACTCATAATGAAAATCTTGAAATAGACATGCAAGTGCCTAGTAAAGAGGTTTTAGGTTCCAAAACAACATGCTCAATAACAATTAAATTTAACTCTGAAAAATATTCTTAAATTAATATTGCACAATTTAAATTAAGAAGAAATATGTAATACTGACAGCAAAATAGACATCAATGTCCTGTGACCCTAGAGCTATTGGGAAGCATTTTTAATTATGCCATGAGGCTTGTGGGTTCCTAGTGGAATGCACTTATTTTACGGTCAAGAGTCAAAAAATGATTTACATGCATATTTTTCAATTCCACAACATATCACAATCTATTTATACGATTTGTAGTTTGAATAGAGAGATGGATATGAACAAAACTAAAGCTCATGACTACTTTTGAAGGTCAAGATTATAGTAAATATAGGTTTAGTTAAAATTGGATAAAAATAAACCTCTAATGTAAGCGAGAACCTGAAATAAAAATCTCAAATTAAATACTCACAACTTCAACAAAGGGTTAAGAGCTCAGAACCTATCGTGTGAAATCAAAGCGAGAAGTTAATTACGAGACAGATGGAGTATATAACCCGAGCTTAACGAGCTTCGAACACATACTAGATTTTGAGTTTGAATACTTAGCTTATTCAAACCGAGTTCGAGCATAGTGATGATTGGTTCAATCCGGACTCGAACCTATCGTTCACTTATAAATTATATTAATTTAATTATATAGATTATATATTCACTTATAAACACTCTTTGCGCTAATAAAATGATTAAGCTAAAATACGTTCTTAGCGCAATTTTATAAATTTATTAATGATTATTAAAGATTTGAGTATCTATTGAATCATTTGAACATGAATATATTAACGAACATAGTATAAACTTCTACATTCAAACATGTTTATCGAGCGCTGAAATTGAACACTGAAAATATATTGAGGTAAAAATCAAGTGGCGTTTTGTTACTTTTGTAACAGGTTAATATTCATTTCATTGTTCCGATGTATCATACTAATGGTAATTTCATATGTACAATATTTGACCATTAACACGTAAAACTTTTGTATTTAAAATTATTCTCTCATCTTCATTTGTATATGAAATTATGTTGTACTAAAATTACAAGGACTAAAATAATGAATTACATTTTTAAATTAATCTTTAAGGCTTTCAATAAATTGTGCATAAAATTACTCCACACTATATATCTTGGTGTTGGGAGGAATTAACTTCGGAGAAAATTTATCTGATAGTGGATTTGTGAATATATTTATAGGATTATGTCTTTACGTATATAGGATTTCTGTGAAGAGTTATTCAAGGGGTTGCTTTAATGTACTACCTACTAGGTATTATATATATATATATGTGTGTGTGTGTGTGTGTGTGTGTGTGTGTGTGTGTGTGTGTGTGTGTGTTGAATTTAAGTCCTGAAGAATCCAAAGGCCCAACACCAACCTTTGAGTATGAAGGATAAACAAATAAAAAAAATGTTTAAGGAAAGATTAATGACTAATTAAAGTACTCAACAGTTCCACTTGTATTAATGTAGTAAATTGGATTACAAAGAAAAGGGCGAACGGGAGTTATGGTCCACAGTCTAATACAAGAACTAGATGAAATATATCGCTTATGTCACGCCCCGGACCGCATCCGAGCCACGTAGACAACCGTCGTACAACCCGATAAGAACAACAACAGTTCATCCCTATTGAATTGTACAAGGCGTCCGATTGATTCTATTGCCAAACCGATTAGTAAACACGTACAATCAACATCAATATCATAATAAAACAAATGCGGAAATAATAATATGTTTGATACTTAGCCACACGTGGCAAACACGGGCACGCAAGCCCCCAACTGTTTTAATGAAAACATTGTTCAAAAATCCATGAACAGTTTATAGATTTCAAAAATACGAATGCAAGCACGAACCACGTCTTCCTCCTCGAAGGATCACCCTAGGCAAAGGTGCAGGTAGTAGGATTCTAGTCTCAACCTGAAAAATGTGAGGGCCCCCGGAGGGGTCAGTACTCCATAGAAGTACTAGTGACAAGCAGGCTATATGAAGAATAACTAATGTTTCAGACACGAGACCCAAAAATAGGGTGATACATATATATATGTGACTCATTCATCCGATGATACATACTGTATATATATATTTGTAAAATACTCGACCTGTAGGTCATTTCATTCAAAGAGTCTTTTAGAGATAAAGTTCTTACCTGACTTTTCTCACCCTTTTCCCGAATGCCTAGCTCACCAGCTACATTCTACATTCATAATATCCTACCGAGTTTTGGGAGCATTTCGCATCCCGGGGATACTCAACCCCAACCGAGTTTCAGGATCATTTACCGTCCCGGGGATACTCAACCCCAACCGAGTTTCAGGATCATTTGCAGTCCGGGGGATACTCAACCCCAACCGAGTTTCAGGATCATTTATAGTCCCGGGGATGCTCAACCCCAACCGAGTTTCAGGATCATTTATAGTCTCGGGGATGCTCAACCCCAACCGAGTTTCAGGATCATTTATAGTCCCGGGGATGCTCAACCCCAACCGAGTTTCAGGATCATTTATAGTCCCGGGGATGCTCAACCCCAACCGAGTTTCAGGATCATTTAATGTCCCGGGGATACTCAACCCCAAACTAAATCCTTACCAAACCCTAACCTGGATATGGCTAACCTTTCGTTCCTTCAACTATGGACAATACCTAGCCCTATAGTCATATAACCATCCTTAGGAACCAACGTGGTCAGATCCCACCTGAACGGCCCACATTAACCCGCTCAAAACTGCCCGTTTTGAGCATAAACCAATACTCGATCGAGTATCTACCCATACTCGGTCGAGTACAGGAGGCGGTAGCCCCCAAAGCTAATTTTCAATGTATACTCGATCGAGTATCTATCCATACTCGATCGGGTATAGGAGACAGTAGCCCCCTGGGCAATTCTTCAGCAAATACCCAGTCGGGTATATGTCAATACCCTGTCGGGTATGGTAGTTGACCTGGCGGTCAACGCCCGTTTGACCACCCAAACGGAGTCCGATTAACTTGAATTTTTATACACATATACTTCTTGATGTCCTTGATCCAAAAATAGCATTTTGGATCCCTGGATCATCACACAAAATATGTTATCACATTTTTAATCACCAAACCTACATAACATGCTTTTCAACTATGTTTTATGTATAATCATGACATAAGCAAACACTTGGTTATCTTTACTCATTTCATAAAACATATCCTTGATTACTTTAGGTAATCTCATGCCTCACGCAAAAGTTATAAAGCATAAAGCCGTCTTCTTACCTTAATGAAGCTTATGAAGTTCTAGCCTTCCCGATTTAGCTCCGGCGAAACTCCGGCGAACTTCAACGAACTCCGGCGACAACTCCGGTGACCCTTTCAACTCCGTGAAAGTTCCTTGGATACCTTAGACAAGTTGCTAACAAGGTTTTATCATCATAAAACCCATAGTAATACAAATAACCTCAAAAAGGTTATTTTCCGGCGAACCGGTCACTTTGGCTTCTAAGTCCGTTCTTGGACTTAGAACCACCTTCCAACCCCTCATTCTACACTTCCAAACGTGTAGAACAATCTTAGGGTGTGAAATATGATTGAATAATCATATAAGAGGATTAAAGAAAACGAAATGGGATTAATGGAGTCCTTACCTTGCTAAACACAAGTTTTCCTCTCCAAAACCAACCTTTCCTCTTCTCTTTTCCCCTCCTTCTTCCTCCTTAGCTCAAGTGCGTAGATGGTGGATGAAAATGGAGTATTTCCAGACCTTATCTATATTCCTTAGGTAGGTTGGCCGAGCTTATGGGTTTAGGAGTGATAGAGATACTCCTCTTGGCTTATTCACCAATAATGTGGGGGGGGGGGGACCCTTCTCCTATCACATTTGGTCTCCCAGTCCTTTCTCCCCTCTTTCCTCATGTTAATGTGCGGCTCCCCTTATTCATTTGCAGCCCAAAAACGTGGGTTGGCCCCCACTTATGTGGGAGGTCAACCCTTTGTGTCCCGGGGTGTACAATCGGCCCCGAAAGTTGTATTTTCCGGACTGTTTTAAGTATATTTTATTTTATCGGGTCAAATAAAATATAACACTTGTTCCCAATCCTTATTGGGCCTTAGAATCAATATTTGTTCCCCAACTTTAATTTAGAAGTCTCCGGAATCCCTTTTTGGGCTGTTATCTGATAAATTGCCGATACCGATAATTGGCCCCGGTTGACCAACCGGTCAACTCTATGCCATTGTCATGGCCCAATCAGGATATCCACCACCATATACATATTATCTAGTCCAAGATTAATATAATATGTGGTCCCGATAATATCGGGCGGCCCCACATCCGGTGTGGGCCCCACATGAATTTTACTATTCACGTAATAGAAATGATAAAAATTTACAATCACGTAAAAATGCTTTTATACATTCCTCAAGGTTAAATACATAATTTGGTACAGTACAAATACTCGGGGGCGGTGTTACAAGTTCTACCCCCCTTATTTGGGATTTCGTCCCCGAAATCCACGCGTCTAGTCAAACAGAAATGGATATTGTTCCCTCATCAGGGTCTCCACTTCCCAAGTTTGCTCCTCG